CCCCCCCTCGCCCCTCGGCGTCTCCTCCGCAATCAAAACGGCCATTGAACTCCACCCGCTTTTGGCCAGGCCCAAACTGAGAGGGCCTCGGGGTTGGGGCTGAAAATCCATCGACACCTGGAAGGTACATCCTAGCCCATCCCGGCGGTGGGAACGCCTTTTCTTTCTTTGTTGTTGTTTTTTTTTTTTGGTGGGGGGATTTCTTTTGGAATTAAACGTTTTGGGGACTCGAGATGTTTTGTTTCAGCTAAGTACTGAATAACGCCCTGCCTGAGAGAGCGTGAGAGAGAAAAAGAGACAGAGAGAGAGAGAGAGAGAGAGAGAGAGAGAGAGAGAGCGAGAGCGCACGTATGAGAACACAGCTATAAAATAATACAAGGTTTCTTGTCCTTAAAGGGGTTCTCGGAGGCAGGGACTCCGACCAGCAAGGGGTCGTTCCGGGCGTGCTGCTCACAGTAGCTCATGAGGTCAGATGCTGCTTTGGAGACCTGTGATCGGGCACATGGGAGAAAGACAGAGATAAGAGGAGGCTGCACACCCGGGTTCACAGCAGCGCCATCCCTGACAGCCACAGGCAGAAACAGCCCAGGAGCCCGCAACCAGGGCATGGGCAAAACGTGTGGCCAGGCCACACCCTGGAATATTACTCAGCCATGAAAAGGGGCAAGGCTCTGACACAGGCCACGGTGTGGACGCATCTTAAGGACCCCATGCTCAGCGAGAGACGCCAGACACAGAAGGCCACGAAGTGTGTGTTCCTTCCCTCCCTCCCTCCCTCCCTCCCTCCTGCCTTCCCTCCTTCCCTCCTTCTTTCCTTCTTTCTTTCTTTCAGATGGAGTTTTGCTCTTGTTGCCCAGGCAGGAGTGCAATGGTGCAATCTTGGCTCACCACAAACTCCGCTTCCCAGGTTCAAGCGATTCTCCTGCCGTAGCGCCCCAAGTAGCTGAGATTACAGGCACGCGCCTGCCACGCCTGGCTAATTTTTTGTATTTCCGGTAGAGACAGGGTTTCACCGTGTTGGTCAGGCTGGTCTTGAACTCCCAACCTCAGGCGATCTGCCGGCCTCGGCCTCCCACAGTGCTGGGATTACAGGCGTGAGCCACCACGCCTGGCTCATCGGTTTGTTTTTGAGACAGGCTCTCGCTCTGTCCCCAGGCTGGAGTGCGGTGGTGTGACCATAGCTGCCTGAAGCCTCCACTTCCTGGGCTCAAGTGATTCTCCCTCCTTAGCCTCCCAAGTAGCTGGGACTACAGGAGTGAACCACTACACCTGGCCATAATTTTTTTTTTTTATTTAGTTTTTTTGAGGTGGAGTCTTGGTCTGTCCCCCAGGCTGGAGTGCAATGGCACAATCTTGACTCACTGCAACTTCTGCCCGTCGGGTTCAAGTGATTCTCCCGCCTCAGCCTCCCAAGTAGCTGGGATTATAGGTGCATGCCGCCACCACGCCTGGCTAATTTTGTATTTTTAGTAGAGACGGGGTTTCTGTTACCACCATGCCAGGGTAATTGCTGTAGTTTCAGTAGAGACGGGGTTTTGCCATGTTGGCCAAGGCTGGTCTCGAACTCCTGACCTCAGGTGACCCGCCGGCCTAGGCCTCCCAAAGTGCTGGGATTACAGGCATGAACCATGGCACTCGGCCTGGCCAGAATTTTTAGAATAATTTTCTTGTACAGAGGAGGGTCTCACTATGTACAGAGGCTGGTCTCAGACTCCTGGGCTCAGGCGATCCTTCCTCGAAGGCCTCCGATAGGGCTGAGTTTACAGGTGTGAGCTGCCTCCCCCGGCCAGTACAGCTGCACCCCAGATCCTCAGTCCTCCTTTGGATGCCTGAGACCTGGGCCCCTCAAACAGCCAGGAACCTATGGGACAGCTTCGGGGTCTTGCCCAGCTGGGCAGCAGAGGGGATGCGCATATCCATGAAGTGAGCCCGCCGGCTGCTGCGGCCTGTGATGACTCGGGTGTGGCCGGCTTTCTAGACTTCTGTTTGGGAAGCGGCCCCCCTGGATGACAGAAATAGCCTCCAGACCGTGAAAATAGCTGGCATTGTGGCTCAGCACTCGGCCCCCTCGGCACCGCCCCCCTGGCACCGCCCCCCCCCTCCCGTGCCCACCGCGGCGGGCTGCTGAGCCCCGAGCCCGTGGCTGTGAGGCTCTGTGGCTCTGGTCGCTGCGCTGGAGCTGGGGATGTAAAACCTCAGGCGGGACTGGGAGTGGGGACGGGGCAAATCCTGGCTCCCCCGAGGCCCAACATTCAAAAGGGGTGGCGGGGGCCCCTCCCTGACATCAAACGGGGCGGGATGAATCACTGCCCTCCTCCGGGGTTGGGGGTTGGCACCGACTCAGAAAAGGAAAACCACTTCAACCAGGGCTTTCTCTTTCTTCAGCCCGAAAGAATGCTTTGAATGCTCAGGTCTGTCCTCAGCAGTCAGCTTTCTGGAACGTTCAGACACCTCGTGGGGGGCAGACCCCTCCCCTCCTGGCTGGATCTCGAGGGAGGCTCACTGGCCTGATCGGAACCATTTCGCCTCCCGCACCACTTGGCCGGCAGGGACGAGTCTGTCTGCCCCAAGAACCGGGCACCCCTTCCCGTGGCCAGTGACGGCAAGCTGGTGACGGGTGCTGGAGAACTGAGGTCTGAAGGGACGTGCGGGTGATGGCTGATCTTATGGGGCACAAGGGCAGGACCATGGTGCCCCAATGTTTGCTTAAATGTTTTTCTAGATGTTGCTGTGAAGGTTGTTTTTTCTTTCCTGGTTCTTCTTATTATTTTTTTGAGATAGATTCTCGCTTTGTCCCCAGGCTGGAGTGCAGTGGCGTGATCTCGGCTCACAGCAACCTCCATCTCCCAGGTTCAAGTGATTCTCCTGCCTCAGCCCCCCAAAGTGTGAGCCACCAAGCCTGGCCTGTTTTTTCTTTGGTAGAGATGGGGTCTTGCTGTGTTGCCCAGGCTGGAATTAAACTCCTGACCTCAAGTGATCCTCACGCCTCAGCCTCCCAAAGTGCTGGGATTACAGGTGTGAGCCGCTGTGCCTGGCACGCAAAAATTTTTTGTTTTTTAGATGTGATTAACATTTAAATCCATAGACTTCGAGCATAGCAGGTGACCCTCTGGAATGCAGGTGGGCCTCATCTGATCACTAGAAGGCCTTTAGAGAAAAAGGCTGGGGTCCTTCCAGGAGGAGGGAAGTCTGCGTCCAGGGGGCCTTGGGGTTTAAGCCTCCGCACCAGCTCTTCCCTGGGTGTCCAGCCTGCTGGTTGGCCCTGCAGATTTCAGAACTTGCCTTAAAACAAATCTCTCTGGGTCAGGTGTGGTGGCTCACACCTGTAATCCCAGCACTTTGAGAGGCAGGCAGATGACTTGAAGTCAGGAGTTCGAGACCAGACTGGACACCATAGTGAAACCCCGTCTCAACTAAAAATACAAAAAATTACCCGGGGTGTGGGGAGTGATCCCAGCTACTGGGGAGGCTGAGGCAGGAGAATTGCTTCAACCGGGGAGGTGGAGGTTGCAGTTAGCTCAGATCATGCCACTGCACTCCAGCCTCAAAGAAAAAAAAAAAGCAACTCTGTCCACACAGACACACACACACACACACACACACATTCTCTCTCTCTCTCTCTCTCTCTCTCTCTCTCTCTCTCTCTCTCGGGTCTGTTTTCCCAACTAACACATGTGTCGCTGGAGCAAAGCTAATCTAGAAGCTTAGTAAAACCACCCGGGGCTTCCACGATGAGACGCCCAGGTCGGTGTGTGGCCAGCTGCCAGCTGTGTTCCGGGCAGGAAACAGCCCCTGGGGGGAGCCCTGAGGTCCCTGCAAAGTGGACCCAGGCCTGGGGAGCCGGCGCCTTTGAAAACTGCCAAGCACCATTCTCCTGTTCAAGGCCTTGGGGGCCTCTCCTTCCAGAGTCGCCACCTGAGAGGGGGACACCTGGGAGGCCTGGGTGTCACAAGCGTGGACTTAGAATTGACCAGTGTGGCCCATCCGTGTGCTGGAACACCACTCAGCTGGGAAAAGGAGGCTGGCTCTGCAGGGCCACAGCGCGGAGGCACCGTCAGGATGTCGCACTGCATGAGGGAAGCCAGACACAGGAGGCCACACAGGGTATGATTCCATTTCTTTTTTTTTTTTTTTTTGAGACGGAGTCTTGCTCTGTCGCCCAGGCTGGACTGCAGTGGCACAATCTCAGCGCACTGCAACCTCCGCCTCCCAGGTTCAAGCGATTCTCCAGCCTCAGCCTCCTGAGTAGCTGGGATTACAGGTGCGTGCCACCACGCCCGGCTAATTTTTGTGTTTTTAATGGGGACAGGGTTTCACCAAATTGGCCAGGCTGGCCTCGAACTCCTGACCTCAGGTGATCCACCTACCTCGGCCTCCCAAAGTGCTGGGATTACAAGTGTGAGCCACCGTGCCCAGCTGTGTGATCCCATTTCTATGAAATATCCAGGACAGGCCCATCCACAGAGGCAGGGGGGGGGATTCCCTGGGTTCCAAGGCCCCACTCTAATGCAGGTGGGCCTCATCTAATCAGTTGAAGGCCTTAAGGGAAAAAGGCTGGGGTCCTTCCAGGAGGAGGGAACTCTGCCTCCAGGTGGCCTTGGGGTTTGAACGGCAGCTGGACGGGGACTTGTGGCTAATGAGAATAGGGTTTTCTGGTTGGGGATGATGGAAAGTTCCAGAATTAGATGGCAGTGATGGTGGCACACAGTGTGAATGTACTCTCTGTCACTCAACTGTGCACTTTCTTTTTTTTTTTTTTTTGAGACGGAGTTTCGCTCTTGTTACCCAGGCTAGAGTGCAATGGCGCGATCTCGGCTCACCGCAACCTCCGCCTCCTGGGTTCAAGCAATTCTCCTGCCTCAGCCTCCTGAGTAGCTGGGATTACAGGGACGCGCCACCATGCCCAGCTAATTTTTTGTATTTTTAGTAGAGATGGGGTTTCACCATGTTGACCAGGATGGTCTCGATCTCCCGACCTCGTGATCCACCCGCCTCGGCCTCCCAAAGTGCTGGGATTACAGGCTTGAGCCACCGCGCCCGGCCATCAACTGTGCACTTTCAAAAGGTTACTTCCACTTTACGTGAATGAATATCTTTTCAGAGTCTGTCAGGATGACTGACAGCCTGCCGATTCATGATCTCACTGTTTCCGTGCCCTGATTTCTGACGGGTTACATGTCTGTGGGCAGGAACTCATGTCTTTTTAACCTTCTTTAGGACAAAAATCAAGCCTTTTTTTTTTTTTTTTTTTTTTTTTGAGACTGAGTCTCGCTCTGTCGCCAGGCTAGAGTGCAATGGCGCGATCTCGGCTCACCGCAACCTCCGTCTCCCGGGTTCAGGCGATTCTCCTGCCTCAGCCTCCCGAGTAGCTGGGATTACAGGCGCCAGCCACCACACCTGGCTAATTTTTATATTTTTAGTAGAGATGGGGTTTCTCCATGTTGGCCGAGCTGGTCTTGAACTCCTGACCTCAGGCGATCCGCCTGCCTAGGCTTCCCAAAGTCTTGGGATTACAGGTGTGAGCCACTGCATCCAGCCTCTGATCTTTGTCAAAAACTCCAAACCACCCAGAAGTGAAACGAGCAGAGAGCACTGTCTCCTCCAGCCTCGGACTGTCTCTGTTCCATCCTCATCCATCAGAGCCGAGGATCTGGACAGAGTGACGCTGAGGGAGCCACAGTGCTCCTCCCCACGGGTCGCAGCGCGTTTACAAACACTTTACAGTGCTGCATGAACCCACGAGATTGGCCGCCTCTTTCTGCAGAGGAAACGGAGGCTCAGAGAGGTTGAGGGACGGCCCCAAGGTCACACAGCAAGAGGCATAGCTGTGGTGCAAACTTGTGCCCTCCCGCTGAGCCTCCTGCCCACCATTTGCTGGGCACCCACGGGCTGCTCCCCGCCTCCTCCTGGCATGCGCCGCACTCACCTTGATGCGTTCGATACCGGCTTCGATACGCAGCTGTTCCACCAGCTTCCGGGCCTGGGCTATGTTGTTAGTGGCTGACATTGTCTGCCATCAGCTCCGGGCCCCCGGCGTCCAGAGAGCTGTGGGGGAAGCAGAGGGGTGTGGGTCAAAGCCCTGCTCCGGCCTCTTTTTTGTTTTTAGTACATAAAGGAGTATAACTGACTGCACGCGGTGGCTCACGCCTGCAATCCCAGCATTTTGGGAGGCCGAGGTGGGTGGATCACCTGAGGTCAGGAGTTCAAGACCAGCCTGGCCATCATGGTGAAACCCCATGTTTGAAAAAACAAAACAAAACATATATATATATATATATATATATATATATATATATATATATATGGCGTTAAATGGGGCCGGGCACCATGGCTCAAGCCTGCAATCCCAGCATTTTGGGAGGCTGAGGCGGGTGGATCACGAGGTCGAGAGATCGAGACCATCCTGGCCAACATGGTGAAACCCCGTCTCTACTAAAAATACAAAAATTAGCCGGGCGTTTGGAATGCGCCTGTAGTCCCAGCTACTCGGGAGGCTGAGGCGGAAGAATCGCTTGAACACAGGAGCGGGAGGCTGCAGTGAGCAGAGATGGCACCACTGCACTCCAGCTTGAGTGACAGAGCAAGACTCCATCTCAAAAAAAAAAAAAAAAAAGTATTACCTTCCATGTTGCAAAAATTTAAAAACTTATTTTATTTATTTATTTATTTATTTATTTAAAGAGACGGGGTTTCACCATATTGGTCAGGCTGGTCTCGAACTTCTGACTTCAGGTGATCCACCCGCCTCGGCCTCCCAAAGTGCTGGGATTACAGGCATGAGCCATAAAACCTATTTTAGTATAAAACTCATAAGCAACCACTGTTGAGAAAATTAGTAAACTATAGAAAGGGAAAAAACACCTCCCATAATTTCTCTACTTAACATAACCACTGTTGACATGACGGCTATTTCTACCAGAATATATTCTTTTCTTTTCTTTTTTGAGATGGAGTCTTGCTCTGTCCCCAGGTCCGAGTGCAGTGGCATAATCTTGGCTCATGGCAACCTGTGTCTCCCGGGTTCAAGCGATTCTCCTGCCTCAGCCTTCCGGGTAGCGGGAATTACAGGCACGCGCCACCACGCCTGGCTCATTTTTTGTATTTTTAGTAGAGATGGGATTTCACTATGTTGGTCAGGCTGGTCTCGAACTCCCGACCTCAGGTGATTCACCCGTCTTGGCCTCCCCACAATGCTGGGATGACAGGCGTGAGCCCCCACGCCGGCCTCTCCTCTGTGTCCTGTGCCATGCTTCTTGAATTCTCCTGGAACAACCCAGGACCTCAACAAGGCAGGTAGTGACAGGATGCAGAGTCTCTTGGGGGTCTGTGGAATCCCCTAAGACCTCATGTGGCGGTGACTCTGCCCCCCATGGAGCACTGGGTGGTGTCTCGGACATTTGTGGCTGTCATGACTGGGGGGTGCCCCTGGCATGGGGGGGCCAGGGATGCCGTTCAGCACCCTGCAGTGCCTGGGACGGCTGCACCCCAGGGCACAACCCTGCCCCACGTGTTGGCAGTGTCCAGATTAAAGAAACCTGCTTAGTAGGACCCGGCGAGGGGGTCAGTGCTGATGGGGGTGGCAGGAGCAGGGGCCGGGTTCAAGAGTCCTGGGCAGCCGCAGTCCCTGTGCGTAGCTAATGAAGCCGCGCCCTGTGTCACAGCGTCACTGTCTGTTCTGCAGAGCCAGGCAGCCGCAGAAAAGCCACGGCAGATTCCAGAGTTTTCAAAAAAATGCCTCCTCAGTGATAAGAAGGAAGGGACTGTCCAAGCATTCCACACCGCAGGGGAGTGACTCTCCAGGGCCTGGGATGTGTGGCACAGTTCTGTTTCTGTAACATGTTTAAGAGGACTTTCTTTTAAAAAACCCATTTTTTACTTATTTTTTGCTCAGGCTGGAGTGCAATGGCACCGTCTCAGATCACTGCAACCTCCGCCTCGCGGGTTCAAGCGATTCTCCTACCTCAGCTTCCAGAGTAGCTGGGACTGCAGCCATGCGCCACCACGCATGGCTCATTTTTTGCATTTTTCGGTAGAGAGATGGGGTTTCACTGTGTTTTCCAGGTTGGTCTTGAACTCCTGACCTTGTGATCAGCCCACCTTGGTTTCCCAAAGTGCTGGGATTACAGGCATAAGCCACCACTTTTTTTTTTTTTTTTTTTTTTTTTTTGAGACGGAGTTTCGCTCTTGTTACCCAGGCTGGAGTGCAATGGCGCGATCTCGGCTCACCGCAACCTCCGCCTCCTGGGTTCAGGCAATTCTCCTGCCTCAGCCTCCCTGAGTAGCTGGGATTACAGGCACGCGCCACCATGCCCAGCTAATTTTTTGTATTTTTAGTAGAGACGGGGTTTCACCATGTTGACCAGGATGGTCTCGATCTCTCGACCTCGTGATCCACCCGCCTCGGCCTCCCAAAGTGCTGAGATTACAGGTTTGAGCCACTGCGCCCGGCCATTTTTTTTTTTTTTTTTTTTTGAGACAGGATCTCACTCTGTCACCCAGGCTGGAATGCAGTGACTCGATCTCAGCTCCCTGCAGCCGTGCTTCTGGGGCTCGAGTGATACTCCCACTTTGTCCTCCCGAGTAGCTGGGATTACAGGTGCATGTGCCACCACGCCCAGCTCATCTCTGTATTTTTGGTAGAGACGAGGTTTCACCATGTTGGCCGGGTTGGTCTCGAACTCCTGGTCTCAAGTGATCTGCCTGCCTTGGCCTCTGAAGGTGCTAGGATTACAGGCATGAGCCACCGCGCCTGGCGAGGTGGCTCATGCCTGTAATCCCAGCGCTTTGGGAGGCTGGACGTGAGTCCAGGAGTTTGAGACCAGCCTGGGCAACACAGCAAGACCCTCTCTCTAAAAAAATTTGAAAATTAGCTGGGAGTGGGCGGTGTATTCCTGTGGTCCCAGCTACTTGGGATGCTGGGGTCGGAAGTTGAGGCCAGACTGGGCGACTCAGTGAGACCCCATCTCTGAATAAATAAGTAAATAAAAGGGCAACTGGGCCCTGTTAGTGCCTCAGTGATGGTAAGCCGCAGGCCTACACGGTGATAAGCTCGCAGCCTCACACACTCACACACCAACGAGTCCGACACTGAACACTGCAGGTCCTGGGCGAAGCCGGGAACGTGTGACTGTCTGGCTGTGGTCCTGCCCACAGCTTTACCAAATGTGACCACCAGGGACGGCCGGGGAATGACACAGAACTCCTCTACACGCTCTGTTAGCACTGGATGGGACTCCACCGCACTCTCAATAAAAGGGTCAATTAAAAAAAAATCCCTTTGACACCGCCCCGCCGCCTTGGTTTGCAGCAGACGTCCGGCCCCCATCTTTTGGGGGCAGAGAAGGCCCAACCTGTCTGTTCTGGAGGCAGAGCCCACGCGTGGCCGCCCAGAGGGCTCCCATTCCAGAAAGCTTCAAAGCAGCCACAAAACATCCAGCTCAGGGAAAACCGCCCTGGGTTCAGCTTAAAAATACCTAAATTACTCAGTGCTAAAAATATGAGCACACAGAGAACAAACGGGTTGGCTCCACCTTCTGTTTTCCTTGGAAGGCCGGGGGGTCCTATTTCACTCCACAGTCAGGAGCGTCCACACACACCCTGGGCACCCACTGCCCCGGGCTGCCCCCCAACCCCCCGACATTTCCACGTGAGCATCAGGGCCTGAGTCTTGCTGGCTTTTCTGTTTTGGACAAAATTCCCTGAGAGAGGCTCTCTTTGGACTGGGGAATAACTCCGGCCTGCCAGAAAGGCCACGGAGGGCTGCGCTGTGTGTGTGTGTGTGTGTGTGTGTGGGTGTGTGCGCGCGTGTGCATGTGTTCCTATGTTTTTGTATTTTCGTGTATGTCAGTGTGCACATGACTGTACATGTATGTGTGGCTGTGTATGTACACGTGGTGTGCATGGCACTGGGTACATATGGATCTGCATGTGCACGCATGCGTGTTTGTATGTGTACCTTGTGGGTTCATGTGTGTGCATACACTTATGCTATTACGCACAAGTGTGCATCTGTGTACACACCTGTGCATGTCAGCATGCATGAGTGTGCATCTGTGTACAGGAACATATGTGCACACGTCTGTGTCTATGTGTACGTGTCTGCATGAGTGTGTGCATAGATGCCCATGTGGGCATGTGTGTCAGTGTGCACAGGTGTGGGAGCATGGCACTGCATGTGTGTGTGCATGTGTCACTATGGGTGTGCACGTGTGGGCACATGTACATCACTGTGTGTGTGCATGTGCGTGTATGTGGGTGTGTACATGTGTCTGCATGTGTACATGCATGTGTGTGTGCACGGGCATGTCACTGTGCACGTGTAAATTCATGTATGTGGGCACGTATGTTGCTATGGGCGTGTATGCACACGTTTGGGCATGTGTAAGTCACTGGGGTGAGCACATATGTGCAGGCGTGGGCGTGTACATGTGTGCACACGTGAACATGTATGTCACTGGGTGTATACATATATGCATGCATGGGTGTGTACGTGTCTTCATGTGTGCACATGCGTGTGTACCTTGCATCCATGAGTGTGCATGTGTGTGTGTACAGTGGTGTGCATATCAGCATGCATAGGAGTCTGTGCATCTGTGTACATGAACATATGGGCCATGTCCATCTGTCTGTATGAATGTATGTGTATCTGTACATATGTGTATCTATGTATACATGTCTGCATGAGTGTGTGCACAGGTGTATGTATGAGGGCATGCATATTGCTATGGGTGTGTGCATGTGTGTGCACGTGTGTGGGCATGTATGTTCCTATGGGTGTGTGCATGTGTGTGCACGTGTGTGGGCGTATGGGCATGTCACTGTGGTGTGTGCATATGTGCACTCATGGGTGTGTATGTGTGTGTCTGCACGAGTGTGGGCGTGTCACTGCATATGTGTGCACACGTGTGTGGGCATGTATGTTGCTACTGGTGTGTCCATACTGTGGGCATGTGTATATGTCACTGTGGGTGTGTGCATATGTGCATGGGTGGGTGTGTACGTGTGTGCAAATGTGTGTGTGCGTGCAGGCGCACGTGCACATGTAT